CGCAGGAGCTAACTCGGGTCTTTCGGTGGGAGGTGGCTGCTTTGCGAAGGTGGTTCAGCCTTGTGCGTCGCTTCGCCGACGTAAAGTTCCAATACTTGGGTACTTTAAAATGGCATTTAACGTTAAAACCAGATAGATGCGGTTTTCTTTCCTTTTTTTTTGCGGTAAGATGCGTTTGCCTTCTTTTTAAAGGCAAAGGTAGTGTTGGAATTTAAATGAGTACGACATTGTTATAAGTACCATAAATTAAAAGTCTCCCTAGTCAGCATAATACTTCTCCTCATCTCATTTAAAGTGTAATGAACTGCATGTATTTTTTATAAACTTTGATAATCGCATATATTTGTTTTTTGCCATGTTTGTCGCTAAGCGCTGAGTGGGGCTTAACCTACTTCCTTTGCTGTAAATACACAGGTGGTGATTGTATAGTAGGACAGGTTGGGAAGAATATTCCTTAGAGTTTGGGCTTGTTTGAAACAACAGTGCATATAAATTGCTATTGTAAAATGGCTCTTCCGTATTTTATTTAGGAGAAATGTAATTTTAGAATATTTTTTTTTCTTTACAGGACCCTCCGCTATGTTCCTGAAAGCTCCCAAGACAAAATCATCTCTGATGAAGATGTCTTTGAAACACTGTTGAAAATATTTAAAGCTCTGTTCATAAATGACTTCAGTAGACAAGCACATATTTTGGCCTTACTTCCAGAAATCAAATGTAAATACCTGGAGTTACTGACTGTTGAGCAGAAGCAATCAAAAGTAAATTCATGTAACCATCAGAGTCGACCTGTGTTTAGTCCCGAGGAAGTTCTGCTCAATACACTAGGGTTCAGTATTGCTCGAGACCGAAGTTCCCTGGTGTCTGCTGGAACTGGAGTCTTTGTTACCGGAGGTTTTGTACCAAAAGGGACGGTTGTGTCTATGTATCCTGGTAATGGAATATTCTTTTTTCTGATAAAGTTAGACGTGATTTCTAACCATCTAATTGTAGAATGCCAAAGTTCTACACTAATTTTTTATTTTACGGGTTTTCTTTCTGTCATTCCTGAACGAAATCACAAGTTACAGTGGATGGGAATATTTCTGTATGAATAGACTAGAGTTCTTTTGGAAATCAGCAAAGCAATATGGGGGGGTGAGGGTGGTATGATTTTGTTTAGGAAAAAAAACTTCTAGTGCTCAAGAGTCTTGATTTTTCAGGTGATAGAAAAGTTGTTCCACATTCTTTAAACACAAGTGCATGGGAGCAGTTTCAAGTAGATGAATAGTACAGTTAAATTCATTGGGGTTTCTGTTTTGGATAAGGATCTGAAAAATGAGGTCTTGAGATCTCCACACAAATCAGCAGACCAGACAATGAACTCTTTCAAAACAGAAAAATACAAATTGGAGAATGAAAATAAAACCTTTATTTAGCGGAACTTTCTTCCATAAAGCATGTTTGGGAAATCAGCACTTCTCTGTTCCTCCTCATTTCCTGGAACTGTGTTTGCTTACAATTCTTAAAAAGATTTGTAATCCTGTCAGCATGGCCAAGCTAGAACAGCTCTGCTGAGACGCTTTCAATTTGTTTCAGTTTCATTTGTCAGGTGTCCCCTGTATGTGTTTTCTAGCTTGTGCCAGCATTGCAGGATCAGGACCAGTCCAAGCGCTGGGCAGTGGAGCATGTTTTGCCACGCCAAAGCAGGAGTGTCTGGCTGTTACCACTGACTGGTAGACTGACAAATTGTCAAACAACAATCACAGGGAACGAGGCTGTGACCTTGCAGCTCACTTCAAATTTCAGGTGCATGCTAAATGTGAGTGAAGGCTCATTACGAGTCTCCTCTTGCAGCTCATGTAGCAAAACAAGAGGAGGAGCTGTTAAAACGTCTTTTTCATGGGCATGAAGGAAACTGCAGGGCTGCTGGCTGGGGAGGGGACCCTCTGGAGAGAGTGGGTCAGTGCTCTTCTGCCTGTCCTTTGGCAGCGAATGCAGCCTGATGGTGGGGTCTTTGCTGAACTCCTCCTGAGGCTGCAATGAGGGATTTCTGCAGGGGCTTGCTGTAGTTGCAGTGGGAGTGAGGGATGCAGGCTGCAATGTCATGAAAAGTTGCAAGCCAGTCTGCTGTGACTTTTCTGTGCTTGGAACCCAGGGTAGGTTAAATCCTGTCCACAGATTTGGGAAATGGTCTGCTGAAATTACTTGTCTGTTCTTGGTTTGGCATTTTCCCTCTCCTGTACTGAACAAAATCTCTGATCGGGGAGTGTTTCAGGTTCTTTGCTCCGTGCATGCTTATACTTTTTGGAGTTCTGACACAGTAGTAACAAAACCAAACATCACGATGTTTTCCTCTCCGAAGAAGTCCGGTTGGCTGTGATGCTTTGTCTACCTCTCACATGGATACTGGACACAGGCCTTCTCTTTAATGATTTCCTTCAGTGGCTTCTCCTTTTGGAATATCTCAGCTCATGTAGGGGTTTTTTTGCATCCCACAAAGGTGTGTCTAAAAGCTTGTAGGTTTACAAGTGTCAGTGTCATTAACGGAGAGAAGAGTTCTCTCCTGCCCCCTCTGTCTCCTTTGAGTTTCTCTGTGGAGGGGACTGGAAGATAGTGTAAGCCCATTCTGACAGTTAACTGACTTTCTTCTGAAATAATCATATCTGTCTTACAACAGGTACAGTATACAGAAAGCATGAGCCCATCTTTTTCCAGTCCCTTGGCAATCCCTTTATTTTTAGGTGCATAGATGGCGTCCTTATTGATGGGAACGATAAAGGGCTATCGAAATCAGTGTACAGGTAAGTGGTCAAAAGAAATAGAGGATTGTCACTCAACTGATGTAAAACAGTGGTACTAACAGTCTCAGTTCCCTGTTACCTTACTTTGAGTTATATTTGAATATCATCTAACTCTGTATCTTGTGATGCAAATAACACAAGGGTAAGAGCTGCGAGGTTTGATCTGTTACGTACTTGTGTCTTCATCTGTAACACCAGTGAAATGTGTTTTGATGTACGGGGACTTGTTGCCTGTAAAGAAAATAGTTTTAATAGGAGCAGGATGTAGCATAAATTTTTTTAAATGCTTCTGAGCTGTTACTCAAATCTGATTAGTGGATTAAAAAAAAAAAAAAGCCTTGTATGTGGACTTGCTGATACCAAAAGGGTGAATCTGATAACTCTGTCTCTGGTCTGCAGATGAGCAGCACTTAGGAAGGGAGCAGTAACCCTTATAATAATACCATCTCATGTTGGAAGGGATCCATAAGGATCATCGAGTCCAACTCCCTGCTCCTTGCAGGGCTACCTAAAACTCACCTTATGACCAAGACCATTGTCCAGATGCTCCTTGAACTCAGACAGGGTTGGTGCCAGGGTGACCACTTCCCTGGGGAGCCTGTCCCAGTGACCGACCACCCTCTTGGTGAAGAACCTTTTCCTGATGTCCAACCTGAACTTCTCCTGACGCAGCTAGCCTGGACTGTGTAGCTTACCTTAAAATATAATTTGTAGCAATTTGTGTTTAAATCTGACATGAAAACAGAATCAGTAACGAGCAAAATCATCTAAAATAATGCCTAATTTGAATACTAATACTAATACCAGATTTTGATTCTGGGAATGAGTTTGAACTTGATTTTGTAATGACCCTTCACATCTTTAGAGATGAATGAGATGTGTTTACACCATTCTGTAATGGTAACGTTTCATTTTGATTTCTGGAATTGTACGTGGTGGTTTTGTGTGGGTTATTCCACCAGAGTCTGAAAGACACCACACACCAGTGGGAGGTTTAAATGTACTTTCTAAAGTATCATCAAGGTGTTGTCTGCATGCACACCCCCCACCCCAGGGCTGTCCTGTCTCCCAGGCGGGTTGGACAGCTGCTTTACCCAGTGGCTGGGGGCGGTTCTCCAGGAGGAAGCACAGATCAGCCGTTAAGTGAAGGAGCGATGATCTGCGTTAACACTGTCGGTCATTTCAGGTCTTGCAGCAGGAGAGATCAGCTTGGCCCATTTCAAATGAGCGATGAGAGCTGGCTCACAGCTGCCCTGCAAAACCCACTGGCGGTGGGACAGTATGTCAACAACTGCTCACACGGTAAGTTGCCAGGTAAATTTTCCAGGCTTGAGTTTGTCTTTATGGATGTAAATTATTTTTGAGGTGACACAAGAAAATCAGATAGTGATATTGGGGGACAATAGTGCTGTTTAAAACAAGATAAACAATGTGATAAAGAGTTTCTGAGGCCTTTTATGGTAGCTGGATGTTAGAACCCTCCAGCACAGCAGCGCTTCAGATATCCTTGTGCTTTTCTCACTGACTTCCCCAGATCCCCCAGTCTCCCTCCCGGTATGCAGAAAGAAAGGCACACATCCTGAAATGTGAGATGGTGGGAAAGGATATCTGGTAAAGGACCTCTGGCCTGAGGCAATACACAGAGTTGCAGCTCCAGTTCCCCAGTATGATTCCAGCAGGCTCCATGAGAAAACCATTTGCACAGTGGCATGTACAGTAAGAGTCTATCACTGCTCAGCTTGAACTATAGTACTTTTTTTTTTCACTTCCTTGCGTTCATGCGCAAAATCTAGGAAACTGTTGGTATGATCTAGCTGTTGGATGTGAGGAACTGAACTATTTATTCTGTCTCACTCAATATGTGTTGGTCTTAAGGTTTGGAGGGAATAAATAACTCGTGGGAACAGTTGTGAGATACAGAATGTTGCATTGCTACCATACCTAGCTTCTAAGTGGCTTTCAGAGCCTGCATTACACTAAAGATACCCTGCCTACTAGTAGTATCCAGAAAGGCCGCTGGAGTAGCAAACTGGATACTGACCAGCACACAAAGGGCTGTCCCATGAAACTGTTTCTTCCAGGTCCAGTGTCCATGTAAAGAAAATTCCTTTCTTCCTGCTGGACAGCTGGTGATTTTCTCCCTGGCTGTATTTATTGCATATTTTGCCACCAGGAAATTTTTTTTCAGTATTTTCTTTTTTCTTTTAACTAAAAGCAAATGCGTATTAACAGCATCTCTCAATGCTGTAATCTATACCTGATGCTATACAACTTGTCCTCCTTCATATACATACTGATAATTGTAGGATCACAGAATGGTTTGGGTTAGAAGGGACCTTTGAAGGTCATCTAGTCCAACCCCCCCTGCAATGAGCAGGGACATCTTCAACCAGATGAGGTTGCTAAGAGCCCCATCCAACCTGACCTTGAATGTTTCCAGTGGTGGGGTATCTACCACCTCTCTGGGCAACCTCTGCCAGTGTCTCACCACCCCCATCGTAAAAAAAATTCTTCCTTACATCTAGTCTGAATTGACCCTCTTTTAGTTTACCCCGTGTCCTATTTTAACAGGCCCTGCTGAAAAGATTGTCCCCAGCTTTCTTGTTAGGCACTGTTTAAGTACTGAAAGGCTGCAATCAGGTCTCCCTGCAGCCTTCTCTTCTCCAGGCTGAAGAAGCCCAACTCTCTCAGCCTGTCCTCGTAGGAGAGGTGCTCCAGCCCTCGGATCATTTTTGTAGCCCTCCTCTGGACCCACTCCAACAAGTCCATGTCTCTCCTGTGCTAAGGGCCCCAGAGCTGGACGTGGGACTGCAGGGGGGGTCTGACCAGAGTGGAGCAGAGGGGCAGAATCCCCTCCCTCAACCTGCTGGCCACGCTGCTTCTGATGCAGCCCAGGAGACAGTTGGCTTTCTCGGCTGCAAGCTCACATTGCTGGCTCATGTCCAGTTTTTCATCAGGTCATGCTGTTTAATGCAATAGGGATGAATTAAAGCTCCTATAGCTGGAGGTGTATATCTTTTGTAAATTCAAAATGGGAATTCACAGTGCAGTAGCTCTCAGCAGAGGCATGGTTTTCAGGCCTGATGAAGCATCTGGTCCTTCTGCAGCGGTACATTTGATATCTTTACACATCTCTAAACCGTATCTTAAGATTTTCTGAATATCATAGAGGCTTTTTTTTTTTTCTTCTTCTAGAAAAAGCGGCCAATGTGTGCTATCAAGAGTTTGATGTGCCAGGATATTTTCCAGTAGAACTGAAACAGTATCTTCCAAACATCGTCTACAGCCATGACATAGAGAGGTTAGCAGCAAATCAAAGAGCTCATAGATTTATATGATACAAGGCATACCGTATGTGTAAAAAAGGGAAATGTAGTTGACAAATAGTAGTATTCCATATGAAGATGAGTAACACAAAACTGTGATTTATAAGATCGTTTCTTTTTGATCCTCTTTCCATGTCTTTGCAAATGAGATCAGCATAGCTCTGAAGACACAGTTTTACAAGCAGTGGTTACACTAGAGTGTGTTTCTTCTGAATCCCATAAAGCGCTAGTTATATTTTGCTTGTATACAGTGCTGAGGTTTTTCAGTGTGTATTTCAAACGTAGCTAGCAACGCTTAACCAATCAAAGCCCTTCTAAGGTAGCTGAGATTTAGGTTTCTTACTCTCTAGTTCTCCACGTCTTATGCTTATATGAGGAATAGGCAGATGATTTTGCAAGAAGAAACCTAAAATTTGAATGAACGCATGTGACTTTTAGTTACAGTCGCAATTACAACATCCTCATTATGACCTGAAAATCCACCTCTTTTGGAAATTAAACTGCTTAGAAACCTTTCTCAGATTTTTGTTTGGAAATGTGAGAAAAGTGACAATTAGATGAATATGTACAAGGAGCAATATTGACAACAAGGACAGACAATATGTCTGGAAGTGAGTGTCCTGTACTGGGATGTAGTTGAGAATAACTTTGAAGCTGTGAGAAAGTAAGTTGTAATGTTGGTCCTGAATTTAACACAACAAAGAAATTGGACTTCTGGTTGTTCATGGTTTACCCCCAGCTGGCAACCAAGCACCATGCAGCTGCTTGCTCACCTTCCTCCCCCCCCCCCTCAGTGGGATGGGAGAGAGAATTGGAAGGGCAAAAGTAAGAAAACTCATGGGTTGAGATAAGAACAGTTTGATAATTAAAATAAAATATAATAATAATGATGACAATAAATTGTAGTGAAAAGGAAAATTACAACAAACAAAAGAACAAAACCTGGGAAAAACAAGTGATGCAACTGCTCACCACTCGCCAAACAGTATCCAGCCTGTCTGTGAGCAGTGATCGCTGCGCCCCAGCCAGCTCCCCCCATTTTATGTACTGAGCATGGCATCATATGGTATGGAACAGCCCTTTGGCCAGTTGGGGTCACCTGTCCTGGCTGTGCCCCCTCCCAGCTTCTTGTGCACCTGGCAGAGCAGGGAAGCTGAAAAATCCTTGACTACTGTAAGCCCTGCTCAGCAACAAGTAAAGCATCAGGGTGTTATAAGCTCCTTCTCCTCCTCCTAAATCCCAAGCACGGCACAATGCCAGCTACTAGGAAGAAAATTAACTCTGTCCCAGACGAAACCAGGACACTGGTTCCATTGCTCCCTTCAGGAACCAAATAATCCTCTTCATCTAGAGGATGTGTAAGGATTTTGGAGCAGGTCATCTAGACTTCTAATGTAATCCTGGAGCCATTTTAAAACTCGAAAATTTGGTTGAAGAAAAGTCACGGTGCATATTGGGGAAACGACTTTTCTGATTAAACTTAGACTTTGCTGAGGCAGCATTAAAGATGCAGTTGTAATCTGCAGATAAATAAATAAATACTAATAAAAGAAGTGGTCAGGCTGAACTTCTGGGAAGCCTGGATGTTGTACTTGAAGTGTGAAGGCGCAGTGAGCAGAGCTAAGCTATGGGACCATTTCAGGAAGGGGGAATTTACTCTTTTCCTTGGAATCTGTCCAAGAAGGTGACGGTTTTGCAGTCCTCAGTTCTCCCAGTGTGCAGCCACCTGACAGAAGATCCCATCTGCTTCTAGCTGCTTGTCTTGATATTGATAGTTACAGTGCTGGCAACATAGGTAATCTGGTTTCTAAATAGTTTTCTATTGTAAAAGAGTTCTTGGTACTTGTTTACCTTTTTGTTGTTTGATTTGTTTCAGAGTGGCCTCACATTAAATTTCTTAGTGGTGGGGTCTTGGGTGGATTCTGTTCTTCACTTTCGCGCTCATCAGCATCAGAAGAAAGAGCTCTCCTTCCTAGAACAGATACTTCAGTTTTAGGGCATGGTCATTTACTTGAAGGAGGTTAGAGGGGGGTGGGTTCCTAAATCTCTCTGCAAGAAAACTGTTTGCCAGCCACTGATTTCAGCTTGGGGTTTATGGAGAACTACCATCCTGTCACTGCAGGTTGCAGCGGGCTCTGGTGCAGCTCTGAGCTGCCGTTCTGGATGTTGTTTGCCTGGGAGCGGGTTTAGCCAGCTAGCACCAGTGGGCAGGCGTCTCTACAGGAATGACTTCTGCTCCGTGAAGCCTGCTGTAGCTTCTCCTGTCTGTTTAAGTGCCTTGTGCTCTGTCTGGAGTAATTCATTTCTGAATAACTGTGTGAGCGGAAACATTACCTGCATGCCCACATAGGCTCTGCTTTTTTTGGTAATTATATTGGGTTTGCTTGTATTTGCTATCTGTATTTCGGTGTTTTTCCAGGCTCCCTGGCCTTCGTTATGCATGCTACTCCCAAAAGTAATCTAGACAGAGCCATTGTTTTAGCTCCTTGCCATGAAGAATTTAAAAAATTCAAAGGGAAATTGTTCACATTCCCCACGTTTTGCTTTTCCTTTCTTTGCAGCCACCCGAGGTGTGTAGTGCTTGTCACTCTCAGAGACATCAAGCAAGGAGAAGAACTTTTTTCTAATTACTACACTGTTGTCAGCTGAGTTAATAGATCCAAGACTGAAGAAATCTGTGTCATTAAAATGCTTGCTGTGTCTGTACTTCAAGCTTCATGAGCATGTTTACCTAACGGAGGGCTGTAGCTTTACCATTTAGAAAGCAACCTGCCTGTATTCCCCTGGAAACACTCCACATCTGATGCAGAGGTGATGGTTTAACCCTTTACATCATTGGGTTCTCAGCTGCCTGCTGCTGCTGTTGATATTACTGCTTATTGGCGTTCAGCTGTCCATACCGTAGCTCATAAAATAAAAACCGAAGTTGTGGGGACGCCGTCTGATCTTCTGGTGGCACAGTTGTCTGTAACAGTGGCTCAGTTTTAATATTTTGCCATTTCGCGTCTCGTGCTTACCGTGGACACAGTTTGTAAAAATGAATTCCCTCTGGTGAGCTGTTCCTCGGATAATCCTCATAGCTCGCAGTAATTACTAGCTCTTGTCCTCGTTTTCCTGGAGTCGGTCCCTTTGGTACCTGCTTCCTTTTAGAAAGTGTTTTAAGTTGTCCAGATCTTTTAGGAAGCCAGTTTTGGAACAACGCTAACAGGCACTTTGGATGCGCCTGCTGCGGGGTGCGTGGTTGTCCAGAGGCCAGCCCGAGCCGCTGGCTGTA